AGTAAACAGAAAGTTGGTTAAAGCGCCTGTCTAGTAAACAGGAGATCACGAGTTCGAATCTCGTCGGTGCCTTAGTAAAGAACTTTAAACTTTGTATTCATACAAATCGTCGTGGTTCGTTAACTAATGGCATTGAATTTAAAAAACTTTGTTTCGAATGCTAAGCTTGCAGAATACGAAAAACAATTTAGAAGAGAGAGTTTACCTTTATCACTGCAAATTTTGAAAAAAATTTTAAAACCCTCTTTGAATTATTTTTTGAGCAATTCTTTTATTTATAATTAGTAGACTCACAACATGCATGTTGGATCGCAGGCGCCGTGTCTTAGTTGGTTAAGACGCGTGTCAAGTACAGGAAATCATGAGTTTGAATCTCATCCTTTCCTTAAAGAGCTTTAATTTTAGTATTGACACAAATTAGTGGTGTTTCGTTTGCAAATACCATTGTATTCAAAAGAACACTTTTTCCAATACTTATCGTGCAATACGATACAAATTAGTAAGGAGAAGATAGTTTTTCTTAGCAATTTTTGAGAAAAATCGGAATATTTCTTTTGAATTATATTTTCCGAGCAATTCTCTTTATTGCAGATTATCTGACGCAAAACATGAACAAAGTTCGTTGGCGCCGTGGTTTAGTTGGTTAAAGCACCTGTCTAGTAAACAGGAGATCACGAGTTCGAATCTCGTCGGTGCCTTCTTTAAATAGCTTTAAATTTTGTATTGTTACAAATCAGTGGTGGTCGTTCACTCATGTCATTGTATTTAGAAAACATTATTTCTAATGCTAGGCTTGCACTACGAAATAACTTAGAAGGGAGGGTATAGTTTTGAGAAAAGTTCAGCCATCATCTTTTGATTTATTTCGAGCAATTCTCTTTATTTATGATTAGCAGATTCCTAACATATATTTAGTTCGCAGGCGCCGTGGCTTAGTGGTTAAAGGGATGCTTATTCACGAGTTCGAGTCGGTGCCTTAGTAAAGAACTTTAAACTTTGTATTCATACAACCGGTCGAGGTTCGTTAACTAATTCATTGAATTTAGAAAACATTGTTCCTAATGCTAAGCGTGGAATACGAAACAACTTAGAAGGGAGAGTATAGTTTATGACTGCAAATTTTGAAAAAATTCAGAAACCGTCTTTTTGAATTATTTCTGAGCAATTCGTTTTATTTATAATTAGCGCATACGTGTTGATCGCAGGTGCCGTTGCGTAGTTGGTTAAAGCGCCTGTCTAGTAAACAGGAGATCACGAGTTCGAATCTCGTCGGTGCCTTAGTAAAAACGTTAAATTTTGTATTGATAGAAATCTGTCGTGATTCGTTAACTAATGACTTTGAATTTAAAAAAAAAATCTTTGTTTCGAATGCTAAGCTTGCAGTACGAAAAATTTAGAAAGAGAGAGGACACTTTATCAATGTATTTTTCAGAAAAGTTCTAAACCCTTTTGAATTATTTTTACAGCAATTCTTTTTATTTATAATTAGCAGACTCACAACATGCATGTTGATCGCAGGCGCCGTGTCTTAGTTGGTTAAGACGCGTGTCAAGTACACAGGAAATCATGAGTTTGAATCTCATCCTTTTCTTAAAGAGCTTTAATTTTAGTATTGACACAAATTAGTGGTGTTTCGTTTGCAAATACCATTGTATTCAAAAGAACACTTTTTCCAATACTTATCGTGCAATACGATACAACTTAGAAAGGAGAAGATAGTTTTTCTAAGCAATTTTTGAGAAAAATTCGGAATATTTCTTTTGAATTATATTTTCCGAGCAATTCTCTTTATTTCAGATTATCTGACGCAAAACATGAACAAAGTTCGTTGGCGCCGTGGCTTAGTTGGTTAAAGCGCCTGTCTAGTAAACAGGAGATCACGAGTTCGAATCTCGTCGGTGCCTTCTTAAATAGCTTTAAATTTTGTATTGTTACAAATCAGTGGTGGTTCGTTCACTCATGTCATTGTATTTAGAAAAACATTGTTTCTAATGCTAGGCTTGCACTACGAAATAACTTAGAAGGGAGGGTATAGTTTTGAGAAAAGTTCAGCCACCATCTTTTGATTTATTTTCGAGCAATTCTCTTTTTTAGATTAGCAGATTCAACATATTAGTGGGCGCCGTGGCTTTTGGTTAAAGCGATGCAAAAACAGACGCGAGTTCGAATCTCGTCGGTGCCTTAGTAAAGAACTTTAAACTTTGTATTCATACAAATCGGTCTTTCGTTAACTAATGTCAAATTTAGAAAAACATTGTTCCTAATGCAACGTTACGAAACAACTTAGAAGGGAGTTTTTTATGACTGCAAATTTTTGAAAAAATTCAGAAATTTCTTTTGAATTATTTTTGGAGCAATTCTTTTATTTATAATTAGCAGACTCAAAACATGAACATGTTGATCGCAGGCGCCGTGGCTTAGTTGGTTAAAGCGCCTGTATAGTAAACAGGAGATCACGAGTTCGAATCTCGTCGGTGCCTTCTTAAATAGCTTTAAATTTTGTATTGATACAAATCTGTCGTGATTCGTTAACTAATGCCTTTGAATTTAAAAAACTTTGTTTCGAATGCTAGGTTTGCAGTACGAAAAATTTAGAAGAGAGAGGACACTTTATAGCAATTTTTGAGAAAAGTTCTAAAACCTCTTTTGAATTATTTTTGGAGCAATTCTTTTTATTTATAATTAGCAGACTCACAACATGCATGTTGATCGCAGGCGCCGTGTCTTAGTTGGTTAAAGACGATGTCAAGTACACAGGAAATCATGAGTTTGAATCTCATCCTTTCCTTAAAAGAGCTTTAATTTTAGTATTGACACAAATTAGTGGTGTTTCGTTTGCAAATACCATTGTATTCAAAAGAACACTTTTTCCAATACTTATCGTGCAATACGATACAAATTAGAAAAGGAGAAGATAGTTTTTCTAAGCAATTTTTGAAAAAATTCGGAATATTTCTTTTAAATTATATTTTCCGAGCAATTCTCTTTATTTCAGATTATCTGACGCAAAACATGAACAAAGTTCGTTGGCGTAGTGGCTTAGTTGGTTAAAGCGCCTGTCTAGTAAACAGGAGATCACGAGTTCGAATCTCGTCGGTGCCTTCTTAAATAGCTTTAAATTTTGTATTGTTACAAATCAGTGGTGGTTCGTTCACTCATGTCATTGTATTTAGAAAAACATTATTTCTAATGCTAGGCTTGCACTACGAAATAACTTAGAAGGGAGGGTATAGTTTTGAGAAAAGTTCAGCCACCATCTTTTGATTTATTTTCGGAGCAATTCTCTTTATTTATGATTAGCAGATTCCTAACATATATGTAGTTCGCAGGCGCCGTGGCTTAGTTGGTTAAAGCGCCTGTCTAGTAAACAGGAGATCACGAGTTCGAATCTCGTCGGTGCCTTGGTAAAGAACTTTAAATTTTGTATTGATACGGATAAGTAATTGTTCATTTGCTCATGACATTTTATACAAAAACCTTTTTGTCCAATGCTAGTCGTTTAATACGGAAAAACTTAGAAAGGCGAGGATAGTTTTTTAATGTATTTTTTAGTAAAGTTCATTTTCCTTCATTTGATATATTTTAGGTGCAATTCTCCTTATTTATGATTAGCAGACACAAAACATGCATGTGTGACGCGAGGCCGTGGCTTAGTCGGTTAAAGTTGTCTAAAACAGAAATTCGCGAGTTCGAATCTCGTGGGTGCCTTAGTAAAGAACTTTAAACTTTGTATTCATACAAATCGGTCACAGTTCGTTAACTAATGTCATTGAATTTAGAAAAACATTGTTCCTAATGCTATAGCGTGGAATACGAAACAACTTAGAAGGGAGAGTATAGTTTATGACTGCAAATTTTGAAAAAATTCAGAAACCGTCTTTTGAATTATTTCTGGTGCAATTCGTTTTATTTATAATTAGCAGACTCAAAACATACATGTTGATCGCAGGCGCCGTGGCTTAGTTGGTTAAAGCGCCTGTCTAGTAAACAGGAGATCACGAGTTCGAATCTCGTCGGTGCCTTAGTAAAGAACTTTAAATTTTGTATTGATAGAAATCTGTCGTGATTCGTTAACTAATGGCTTTGAATTTAAAAAAAAACTTTGTTTCGAATGCTAAGCTTGCAGTACGAAAAAATTTAGAAGAGAGAGGACACTTTATAAATGCAATTTTTCAGAAAAGTTCTAAAACCCTCTTTTGAATTATTTTTGGAGCAATTCTTTTATTTATAATTAGTAGACACACAACATGCATGTTGATCGCAGGCGCCTTGTCTTAGTTGGTTAAGACGCGTGTCAAGTACACAGGAAATCATGAGTTTGAATCTCATCCTTTCCTTAAAGAGCTTTAATTTTAGTATTGACACAAATTAGTGGTGTTTCGTTTGCAAATACCATTGTATTCAAAAGAACACTTTTTCCAATACTTATCGTGCAATACGATACAACTTAGAAAGGAGAAGATAGTTTTTCTAAGCAATTTTTGAGAAAATTCGGAATATTTCTTTTGAATTATATTTTCCGAGCAATTCTCTTTATTTCAGATTATCTGACGCAAAACATGAACGAAGTTCGTTGGCGCCGTGGCTTAGTTGGTTAAAGCGCCTGTCTAGTAAACAGGAGATCACGAGTTCGAATCTCGTCGGTGCCTTCTTAAATAGCTCTAAATTTTGTATTGTTACAAATCAGTGGTGGTTCGTTCACTCATGTCAATGTATTTAGAAAAACATTATTTCTAATGCTAGGTTTGCACTACGAAATAATTTAGAAGGGAGGGTATAGTTTTGAGAAAAGTTCCCACCATCTTTTTTGATTTATTTTCGGAGCAATTAAATTAGAGCTAACATTAGTATTGTAGTTCGCAGGCGCCGTAGTGGGTTAGTTTGGTTAAAGAGATGCTTAGTAAACAAATTCGAATGTATTCAAAAGAACACTTTTTCCAATACTTATCGTTAACTAATGTCATTGATTTACATTGATACAACTTAGAAAAGAGAAGATTGTTTTTCTTAAGCAATTTTTGAAAAAATTCGAATATTTCTTTTGAATTATATTTTCCGAGCAATTCTTTTATTTCAGATTATCTGACGCATAACATGAACAAAGCTCGTTGGCGCCGTGGCGTAGTTGGTTAAAGCGCCTGCCTAGTAAACAGGAGATCACGAGTTCGAATCTCGTCGGTGCCTTCTTAAATAGCTTTAAATTTTGTATTGACTTGTTACAAATCAGTCGTGGTTCGTTCACTCATGTCATTGTATTTAGAAAAACATTGTTTCTAATGCTAGGTTTGCACTACGAAATAATTTAGAAGGGAGGGTATTCTGCTTCTTGTCTTCGTAGACTCCGCACGCAGTTTTTCTGTCCTTGACTGCGACCCCTTTTTCAAAGTCTTTGCCCCGAGCTGGATTGTTTCATCCGATTCCATCGAGCTGGTGTATCGTATTTTTGGTCATTTTTTCGGCCTGGTTCCCGATTTAGGACAATTGTGGTCCTTTTCTGAGGATTATTTCCTACATTTTATCCGATTTTTATCGGATTTGTGTCACACGCGGTGAGTTAGGCTTTAAGCCGGCACCACGTGTCTTTGGATTTTCGAACACTTTTAGTGTTCTCTATTGGATACTTTTGTTTTAGCATTTGGATTACCCAGGATATGTCTGAAACCAGGACAGATGTGGCGTCTACTCCGGTAAGTACGCTTTTTTCTCTTGATCCTATTTGTTTTGATGTAGCAAATGCCACCAAACACTTAGATAGTATCACAACATGCTCCGAATGTGAAGAATTCATCGACATGATAGAGGGATACATCGAAGATGTTAAAAAAACAGTCGGAGTTTTAGACGACGTCCAAAAGCTTCGTTTAATTAGCGAATTGCAAGGTCTGGCTCTTAAAGCCGCAAGGAAGTCTATAAGACTTCAAAATAAGGAATTTAAAGATTATATCGAGGAATTAAAACGCTTAAATGCGCATCAGCTCCCCACTATACCCTCTCCTTCGAAAGCGAAGAGAGGCACGCAAAAGCGCTCCACGACTTCTCCTGTTCCAGGCACGTCAGGGAAGAAGCAACGCGCCGGCGAGCGAAAGCGATCCGGCAACACAACACCCCCTCCCGCCGCCGTAAATGAGGAAACCCTCTCGGCGATGGAGGACGATAGCTCGGCCGACGAGAGCAGCTCGGAAGCCAACAACACGAAGGCTGCCGGCCCGATTCGCGCAAGCGCTCGGGTAGTTAATGCCGATGGCATCGGTGACCTCACCGACACGGAGGGAGACGATTTTACTGTCGTCTCTCGGAAGAAAAAAGTTGCTTCCATCGTAATAGATGCAAGCCAAAATACAACCGGGCTGCTCACCACATTGAGTGAACATTTAGGAACTACACTCGAGGGGCGGTTCGAGAATGGGAAACTTAGAGTTTTTCCCAAAACAATTCTTGAGCATAGAAAGCTCCAATCCTATCTCCAAGTCAAAAAAATGAGGTCCCATACTTTCGAGATGGCTGACAACAAGCAGCTTAAAGCTGTTATCCGAGGACTACCTACTGATTACGATCAAAAGGAAATTGCCTCAGAACTCAAGGGCTTTGGGTTTGAACCCAGCCACATTTCTATTCTACGAAATAGAAAAACTAATACAAACATGCCACTTTTTTTGGTAGTCCTCAAGAAAAATGAGGAAAACAAACAAATATTTCAGATCACGAACATTGGGTTTTTCCGTGTCGTGATAGAACCTTTAAACTGCTCTTCGATGCCTCCTCAATGCTATCGCTGCCAGGAGTTCTATCATCACTCCCGACTCTGTAACAGAGCACCCAAATGCTTAAAATGTAGTGGAAGCCATCTCACCGCAGATTGCAAGAAGTCCATGAAATCCCCAGCTAAGTGTGCAAATTGCGGCGGACCTCATCCAGCCAATTTTTCAGGATGCCCCAGTAACCCCGTAAATAAAAAACAACAAAAAAAAACAGCCAAACAAAAACATCTGGACGGAGAAAGCCAAGGAGCGCACTCAAAAGTCCACACCACGCCAGCAGAAGCCGTCTTACGCTTCAGTAACGGCTCAGAACGTCTCTAAAAACAACACATTTGACGCCAACTCGATCATGGAACAAATGGGTCAAATGATGCAACAGTGGGGAAATATGATAGCTTTCCTTCAACAAAACAACAAAAAATAAAATTCAGCGCGTTTAATAGTAACACTCTTAGAGTTTACAGTTGGAATGCCAATGGTGTTAAAAAGAATTTAGAAGAACTTAAAGAAAGCATCATTTTTCATAACCCCGACTTAATCGGGATCCAAGAAACACATCTTCGTCCTCCGGACCGAATAAGCATTCCAAATTACACTTGTCACAGAAGTGATAGACTCACACACAGAGGCGGGGGCACTGCCATTTTTGTAAAAAATTGCATTAAGCACCACGCCATCCTTAGTACTTCAAACACGTTTGAAAATACAACGGTAATTATTCAACTAGGTAACAACACCAAAATCACTATGGCGTGTATCTATAGACATCCACACGGCTCAATTAATGTTACGGAACTCGATGCTATTCTCACACATAATAATAGAACCTTTCTCTTTGGAGATTTTAACGCTAAACACTCGAGTTGGAACCCAGGGAGAAGCAATGCCAATGGTAATATTCTTAGCAATTGGGCTATAGCCTCAGCTATTGATATTATCGCACCAGACACTCCAACACATTTCAACCACAACGCTCCAAGCACTATTATTGACATCGGCTTTGCAGCTAATTTCTCACACTCTAATGTTTTTACTGTAAATGAATTTAGCAGTGATCACAATCCAGTTATTTTCGATTTCGTAACTAACTGTCAATTACCACCTTTACTTCAAACTCTTAAAACTACTAACTGGATTAAGTTTCAAGAAATTCTTCACTACAACATGCCAGGAAATCCTACGATAGATAATTTGGACCAGGCCGTTCAAAATTTCACCAACATGATCTCGGATGCTATTAATACTTCCACATCCACTAGAATTTCCAAAACTTCACACCTCCGCCTTCCTATTAATATTAGAGAGCTCATTAAAACTAAAAACAGATTCCGTAAGCTTTGGAACAATACAAGATACCCCCTCTATAAAAGGGAAGTGAATGCTCTCGTTAGGCAGATTAGGATCGAAATCAACGAACATAAAAACAGGACCTGGAAAAACCTTCTTTCCTCGTTAAATGTTGAAGATAATTCTCTTTATAATTTGCATAAAAGAATTACTAAAAAATATACTGTCATACCACCTCTCCATGGTCCGAGTGGTATGGCTTTCTCTGATTTCGAAAAAGCGGAGGCTTTCAAAGACACACTAGAAGTCACTTTTCAAGAAAATGCTGAACCATATAGTGACGACAAAATTGAAGAAGTCGAAAGTTTAGTGATTCACTATTTCGACAACTTCAACACACTTACACCACCCCTCACTTCGCCCTTAGAAGTACGAGGCATCATTAAAAAATTACCTAATAGGAAGTCACCCGGCCCAGATCAGATTCCAAATATAGCTTTAAAATATCTTCCTATTAATGCTATCACACATTTAACTAAAATTTACAACAGATGCCTCATTAACTGCCACTTTCCTACACAGTGGAAAATAGCAAATGTAGTCATGTTGCCAAAGCCAAATCAGGATCATAAGTTTAGTCAAAATTATAGGCCGATCTCATTATTAAACACCACTGCTAAGATTTTCGAAAGAATAATTTTAAACAGGATTAAAACTCACTGCAAAGCCATAGACTGTATTCCCCCGGAACAATGCGGTTTCCGGGAGGGCCATTCTACGCTGCATCAATTAATACGTGCCACTAATATTATAAATGAAGGCTTCGCTAGCAAATTATACACTGTAGGTGTCTTTTTGGATGTCAAAAGGGCATTCGACAAAATGTGGCATGATGGCCTCACTTACAAAATGATAAAACTCAAATTCCCTGCTTATTTAATTAAAATTATTCACAATTATTTACACAACAGAACCTTCCGGGTTCGTGTAAATAACACTTTCTCTGAAACGGGTTTTTGTCAAAGTGGTACCCCGCAGGGTTCGGTACTATCCCCGTATCTTTACAACATATTCACATATGACTTTCCAGATCACCACACTGTCAGCACATGTCTTTTCGCAGATGACTCGGCGGCGCTCACTCAGGGTGTCAATCTCAAGTACACAATTAAAACTATGCAACAATTCCTCGTCAAACTAGAGAAATGGTTGACAGATTGGAGAATAGCTATTAATGTAGAAAAACACAAGCCATTGTTTTCAGGAAATGGGGCGTCATTGACCCCAGACTGAACTCACTCTTTTCGATGACAACATTCTGTGGGTCCCGGTCGTTCGTTACTTGGGCTTATATCTCGATAGTCGCCTAACTTACAAGAATCATATTGACTATCTTTCAGATAAATTCTGGGGTAGAATAGCGTTAGCTATCTCCCTTATTGGGAGAAGCTCTCCTCTCTCCCTTGAAAATAAAGTTATACTGTACAAGCAAATTTTGCGTCCAACAATAACGTATGGGTCCCCCATTTGGGGGGCCGCGGCCCCGACCCACACTAAACGCATTCAAATTATTCAAAACAAAATTCTTAGAATCATTGCTAACGCACCTTGGTACGTTAGAAATAGTGTCATCCATCACGACTTACACATGGAGCCGATAGATAATTACATCACTAGAACTTCCAGAAATGTTTTTACTTCTATTCAAAATCATAACAATCCTATAATTAAATCACAAACACTTTTCACGTATCCTCATGCTAAAATAAATTTTGCTTATAAAACGACAAAATGGAACCTGCCCTTAAAACCGCCGTAATTACAACAATAATACTTAATTGCTACACTTAACAACATTTAAATGCATTTGCCTACATCAAAATTGGGATCAGTGATTAAAGCTGGCTCCTGCTTCAATTCCACGATTGTTCCGGCTGCAAGTTCTGTCTTGCAGTCTCCATCCTCTTATTCATTCCAGCTGCAAAAAAAAAAAATTCCGCAGCTTCTCTATTCCGATTGCGTCTTGGTGCTCCTCGAACGCGTTTTTGGGGCTGTTAACCCCCCTTCCTTGCGCTCCTCCACTCCTGCCCGCGTAACGTATTTTTTATCTCGTTTTCGTCTGGCCGCTTCTTCCTCCATCCTCCCCCCCTGCGGGTGAGTACATTCAGATATTGATTTTCATTGCCACTTTCTCTCCGCGAATTTGGGTATAAGCGATTCATTTCGCTGGCATCCGTTAAATCTAATTTTCGTTTCGGGTCTGTGTTAATGCATCAGAAGTAGGCTCTTCTCTCGGCTTCCATGGTTCCGTAGTGTAGTGGTTATCACGTTCGCTTTACACGCGAAAGGTCTCCGGTTCGATCCCGGACGGAACCATATGAAAAAAGCTTTCTTTTTTTATGATTAAGGAATTTAGAATTACATACGCAAGTGGGGAGGTATCCACATTTTTACCATTAGTTATAAAGACATTTTCTTCGGTAACATCACGTTCTCTCTTCAAAATAAAGTTTAAGCTCCAACTCTGTCTGTGTTAATGCATCAGAAGTAGGCTCTTCTCTCGGCTTCCATGGTTCCGTAGTGTAGTGGTTATCACGTTCACTTTACACACGAAAGGTCTCCGGTTCATACCCGGACGGAACCATATGAAAGAATGCTTTCTTTTTTTTATGATTAAGGAATTTAGAATTACATACGCATGAGGGGAGGTATCCCGCTTTTTATCATTAGTTATAAAGACATTTTCTTCGGTAACATCACGTTCTCTCTTCAAAATAAAGTTTAAGCTCCAACTCTGTCTGTGTTAATGCATCAGAAGTAGGCTCTTCTCTCGGCTTCCATGGTTCCGTAGTGTAGTGGTTATCACGTTCGCTTTACACGCGAAAGGTCTCCGGTTCGATCCCGGACGGAACCATATAAACAATGCTTCCTTTTTTTATGATTAAGGAATTTAGAATTACATACGCATGAGGGGAGGTATCCCACTTTTTAATCATTAGTTATAAAGACATTTTCTTCGGTAACATCACGTTCTCTCTTTAAAATAAAGTTTAAGCTCCAACTCTGTCTGTGTTAATGCATCAGAAGTAGGCTCTTCTCTCGGCTTCCATGGTTCCGTAGTGTAGTGGTTATCACGTTCGCTTTACACGCGAAAGGTGTCCGGTTCGATTCCGGACGGAACCATATGAAAGAATGCTTTCTTTTTTTTTTTTTTATGATTAAGGAATTTAGAATTACATACGCATGAGGGGAGGTATCCCAATTTTATCATTAGTTATAAAGACATTTTCTTCGGTAACATCACGTTCTCTCTTCAAAATAAAGTTTAAGCTCCAACTCTGTCTGTGTTATTGCATCAGAAGTAGGCTCATCTCTCGGCTTCCATGGTTACGTAGTGTAGTGGTTATCACGTTCGCATTACACGCGAAAGGACTCCGGTTCGATCCCGGACGGAACCATATGAAAGAATGCTTTCTTTTTTTTATGATTAAGGAATTTAGAATTACATACGCATGATGGGAGGTATCCCACTTTTTTATCATTAGTTATAAAGACATTTTCTTCGGTAACATCACGTTCTCTCTTCAAAATAAAGTTTAAGCTCCAACTCTGTCTGTGTTAATGCATCAGAAGTAGGCATTTCTCTCCGCTTCCATGGTTCCGCCGTGTAATGGTCATCACGTTCGCTTTACACGCGAAAGGTCTCCGGTTCGATCCCGGACGGAACCATATGAAAGAATGCCTTCTTTTTTTTATGATTAAGGAATTTAGAATTACATACGCATGAGGGGAGGTATCCCACTTTTTTATCATTAGTTATAAAGACATTTTCTTCGGTAACATCACGTTCTCTCTTCAAAATAAAGTTTAAGCTCCAACTCTGTCTGTGTTAATGCATCAGAAGTAGGCTCTTCTCTCGGTTTCCATGGTTCCGTAGTGTAGTGGTTATCACGTTCGCTTTACACGCGAAAGGTCTCCGGTTCCATCCCGGACGGAACCATATGAAAGAATGCTTTCTTTTTTTTATGATTAAGGAATTTAGAATTACATACGCATGAGGGAGGTATCCCACTTTTTTATCATTAGTTATAAAGACATTTTCTTCGGTAACATCACGTTCTGTCTTCAAAATAAAGTTTAAGCTCCAACTCTGTCTGTGTTATTGCATCAGAAGTAGGCTCATCTCTCGGCTTCCATGGTTCTGTAGTGTAGTGGTTATGACGTTCGCTTTACACGCGAAAGGTCTCCGGTTCGATCCCGGACGGAACTGTAATAAGAATGCTTTCTTTTCTTTATGATTAAGGAATTAGAATTAGATAAACACGAGGGGAGGTATCCCACATTTTTATCATTAGTTATAAAGACATTTTCTTCGGTAACATCACGTTCTCTCTTCAAAATAAAGTTTAAACTCCAACTCTGTCTGTGTTAATGCATCAGAAGTAGGCTCTTCTCTCGGCTTCCATGGTTCCGTAGTGTAGTGGTTATCACGTTCGCTTTACACGCGAAAGGTCTCCGGTTCGATCCCCGACGGAACCATATGAAAGAATGCTTTCTTTTTTTATGATTAAGGAATTTAGAATTACATACGCATGAGGGGAGGTATCCCACTTTTTTACCATTAGTTATAAAGACATTTTCTTCGGTAACATCACGTTCTCTCTTCAAAATAAAGTTTAAGCTCCAACTCTGTCTGTGTTAATGCATCAGAAGTAGGCTCTTCTCTCGGCTTCCATGGTTCCGTAGTGTAGTGGTTATCACGTTCGCTTTACACGCGAAAGGTCTCCGGTTCGATCCCGGACGGAACCATATGAAAGAATGCTTTCTTTTTTTTATCATTAAGGAATTTAGAATTACATACGCACGTGGGGAGGTATCCACATTTTTACCATTAGTTATAAAGACATTTTCTTCGGTAACATCACGTTCTCTCTTCAAAATAAAGTTTAAGCTCCAACTCTGTCTGTGTTAATGCATCAGAAGTAGGCTCTTCTCTCGGCTTCCATGGTTCCGTAGTGTAGTGGTTATCACGTTCGCTTTACACGCGAAAGGTCTCCGGTTCGATCCCGGACGGAACCATATGAAAGAATGCTTTCTTTTTTTTATGATTAAGGAATTTAGAATTACATACGCACGTGGGGAGGTATCCACATTTTTATCATTAGTTATAAAGACATTTTCTTCGGTAACATCACGTTCTCTCTTCAAAATAAAGTTTAAGCTCCAACTCTGTCTGTGTTAATGCATCAGAAGTAGGCTCTTCTCTCGGCTTCCATGGTTCCGTAGTGTAGTGGTTATCACGTTCGCTTTACACGCGAAAGGTCTCCGGTTCGATCCCGGACGGAACCATATGAAAGAATGCTTTCTTTTTTATGATTAAGGAATTTAGAATTACATACGCACGTGGGGAGGTATCCCAATTTTTTATCATTAGTTATAAAGACATTTTCTTCGGTAACATCACGTTCTCTCTTCAAAATAAAGTTTAAGCTCCAACTCTGTCTGTGTTAATGCATCAGAAGTAGGCTCATCTCTCGGCTTCCATGGTTCCGTAGTGTAGTGGTTATCACGTTCGCTTTACACGCGAAAGGTCTCCGGTTCGATCCCGGACGGAACCATATGAAAGAATGCTTTCTTTTTTTTTTTATGATTAAGGAATTTAGAATTACATACGCATGAGGGGAGGTATCCCACTTTTTATCATTAGTTATAAAGACATTTTCTTCGGTAACATCACGTTCTCTCTTCAAAATAAAGTTTAAGCTCCAACTCTGTCTGTGTTAATGCATCAGAAGTAGGCTCTTCTCTCGGCTTCCATGGTTCCGTAGTGTAGTGGTTATCACGTTCGCTTTACACGCGAAAGGTCTCCGGTTCGATCCCGGACGGAACCATATGAAAGAATGCTTTCTTTTTTTTTTTTTTTTATGATTAAGGAATTTAGAATTACATACGCATGAGGGGGAGGTATCCCACTTTTTTACCATTAGTTATAAAGACATTTTCTTCGGTAACATCACGTTCTCTCTTCAAAATAAAGTTTAAGCTCCAACTCTGTCTGTGTTAATGCATCAGAAGTAGGCTCTTCTCTCGGCTTCCATGGTTCCGTAGTGTAGTGGTTATCACGTTCGCTTTACACGCGAAAGGTCTCCGGTTCGATCCCGGACGGAACCATATGAAAGAATGCTTTTTTTTTTTTATGATTAAGGAATTTAGAATTACATACGCACGTGGGGAGGTATCCACATTTTTATCATTAGTTATAAAGACATTTTCGGTAACATCACGTTCTCTCTTCAAAATAAAGTTTAAGCTCCAACTCTGTCTGTGTTAATGCATCAGAAGTAGGCTCTTCTCTCGGCTTCCATGGTTCCGTAGTGTAGTGGTTATCACGTTCGCTTTACACGCGAAAGGTCTCCGGTTCGATCCCGGACGGAACCATATGAAAGAATGCTTTTTTTTTTTTATGATTAAGGAATTTAGAATTACATACGCACGTTTGGGGAGGTATCCCAATTTTTTATCATTAGTTATAAAGACATTTTCTTCGGTAACATCACGTTCTCTCTTCAAAATAAAGTTTAAGCTCCAACTCTGTCTGTGTTAATGCATCAGAAGTAGGCTCTTCTCTCGGCTTCCATGGTTCCGTAGTGTAGTGGTTATCACGTTCGCTTTACACGCGAAAGGTCTCCGGTTCGATCCCGGACGGAACCATATGAAAGAATGCTTTTTTTTTTATGATTAAGGAATTTACAATTACATACGCACGTTTGGGGAGGTATCCCACTTTTTTATCATTAGTTATAAAGACATTTTCTTCGGTAACATCACGTTCTCTCTTCAAAATAAAGTTTAAGCTCCAACTCTGTCTGTGTTAATGCATCAGAAGTAGGCTCTTCTCTCGGCTTCCATGGTTCCGTAGTGTAGTGGTTATCACGTTCGCTTTACACGCGAAAGGTCTCCGGTTCGATCCCGGACGGAACCATATGCGAAAGAATGCTTTCTTTTTTTCCGTATGATTAAGGAATTTAGAATTACATACGCACGTTTGGAGGTATCCCACTTTTTTATCATTAGTTATAAAGACATTTTCTTCGGTAACATCACGTTCTCTCTTCAAAATAAGTTTAAGCTCCAACTCTGTCTGTGTTAATGCATCAGAAGTAGGCTCTTCTCTCGGCTTCCATGGTTCCGTAGTGTAGTGGTTATCACGTTCGCTTTACACGCGAAAGGTCTCGGTTCGATCCCGGACGGAACCATATGAAAGAATGCTTTTTTTTTATGATTAAGGAATTTAGAATTACATACGCACGTTTGGAGGTATCCCACTTTTTTATCATTAGTTATAAAGACATTTTCTTCGGTAACATCACGTTCTCTCTTCAAAATAAAGTTTAAGCTCCAACTCTGTCTGTGTTAATGCATCAGAAGTAGGCTCTTCTCTCGGCTTCCATGGTTCCGTAGTGTAGTGGTTATCACGTTCGCTTTACAAGCGAAAGGTCTCCGGTTCGATCCCGGACGGAACCATGCGAAAAGAATGCTTTTTTTTTTTATGATTAAGGAATTTACAATTACATACGCACGTTTGGAGGTATCCCACTTTTTTATCATTAGTTATAAAGACATTTTCTTCGGTAACATCACGTTCTCTCTTCAAAATAAAGTTTAAGCTCCAACTCTGTCTGTGTTAATGCATCAGAAGTAGGCTCTTCTCTCGGCTTCCATGGTTCCGTAGTGTAGTGGTTATCACGT